AGTTATCATAATATTTGCCACGACGTCGAGTCCAGGCGTGTTGCGACAGTTATCGAAAAGTACCAGGATAAAGAGGGTAAACGTATCGATAAACGAACAATTATTTTACTAGTACACGCCAGAACGTCGTAGAAGGGATTACGTTGCATTTAAGTGATACTTGTGTAAATTTGAAACGACGAAACAAATGGACGACGTTGCGCGAATAGCGTGTAACATTGCATAGAATTCTCTTTGGCGTTACTATAATAAACTCTTGAGTAGTCTACGTTCTCGTTTCGAGGAACAAACGTACACGTATTAACTATTAAAAACCGAAAACGCATGCGACCGTCTTGAATTTAATATATAATTTATCACTAACGATACTGTGTTAATATATCATCGGCATTGTTGAGAGAAAGAAAATCTACATGTAAATAAACATAAAAGCATTTTTATAAATAGCCCAGAATCTTTGTTATTTATTCAACCCTACCTACGTATATCCAATAAATCTTGACTGTTGGTAAAATTACTAACTGCAATATAAAAATTGCGAACTAATAAAGCAACTATTTCGCGAATATTGGAATTAATTAACTAATCCAATAAAAGTAAAACTGCACTGTAAAATTGCATAAACTTGTAATGCGTTCGTGTCCGATTTTAAATCTCAATCGTATTAATCAGCATTTCTACTACAGTTAATGTTTTATGCATAACGTACAATGCACACTGTCGGCACATAAAATATTTCATAAGCTAAGCTAACAATAAATTTGTTATATTCGTGTAACTGAGAAAAATGGAGAAAGTTATGCAAATGAATGACGGTGGCATGATAAAAAAAAAAGCATCGAAAACATCGGAGAAGATACTGATACGGCTTGGATACAATCTTATCAGAGGCGAACTGAAAATATTCCACGGCGTTCAGTTTCGTATAGTAAGCCAATTAGTTTTGTGCATACTCGTCGTTTCACACTCCACGATGCCGGTACGTATTCTCGCGTGCATTAATTACAATTTTTCAAAAGTCGTTCTCAAACTATAAAACGCTCAATGGGATTAGTCCAATCTTCGTTATTCTAATATCCTTTAAAATATTACGTTCGGTAGATGGTAAAATCAACGTTTGCTTCGCGATACTGCTGTTATCACAAGCACTGTTCATGTTCACGTGACGTTAAGTCATAGCTTGAATTGCCCTAGTAGTAAATGGAAATCATCTTGAAAACTGGAAGCTGTGTTATCATAATATTCCACTAGTTATAGTTATAGTAAGTTTACAGCTGTAGACTTACAAGGGGGAAATGTCACAATTTTCTTTTATAATACCGGATAGGTATAATCATGTTATAATACTGGATATAATCAATTTTAACAATAGGTAGTTTTAATTAGAAACTCTAACTCTCGTAACTCTTATTCATAAACAAATTCCAACTTCTTGATGAATTTTTAATTTCATATTTGTAAAACTTCGTGACATCAATTGTACTACTTAAAATGTAATTGTATTTTAAATAACAAAACTTTGTTCATTTTTTAATTATAGAGAACACCGTTCACTTTCAGAGGACTCGTAGTTCCTGTATTAACACCCTTTAATAATGACAGGTAATTTGTTTGAAATTCATTAGACAACATTACTATACAGACTACAAGAAAGCTAATATTTACGAACATATGGAAATACAATGTGGAATATATTGATATGATTTAATCCGTTATCGTTCTAGCAAAAGAACTCTGAACTTGTCACTTATACCACAGTACGCCGAATATTTAGCTAAAAAAAAAATCACGGGGGTGCTTGGTAAGTAACAATTATATTTTAATTGTATTTGTTCAAATCACTGTACAGTACTGCTGGAAGAATTTCTCAAGCTTAATAAATGAAAACAAAATGGTATCGATTCCATTACTTCTAAGCTAAATAATTTAGGAGTACATAAATACACGAAACCTTTCGAATGGTAAAGACATGTAATCGTTAATCAACAGTAAATGGAACGACCGGGGAAGGTATGTCTATGTCCGTAACGGAAAGGAAATTAATTGTCGAGGCATGGGCAAACGCTGTAAAAACAACAAAGCAACACTTGATGGTTCAAGTAGGCGGTGCTCCTCTTCCGGACGTTCTTGAACTTGTACGTGTAAACTGCACTATTACAACACACATTTACAGAGAACAAAGTCTAGTAAAATTGCATATAAATTATTAACGCTTTAAGTTGAACTTTGAACTCTTCCTTACTTCGGTCGCCTTCTTAACATATTGTAAATCAAATTATCCCTTTCATTTATAGGCGAAACACGCCGAAAGTATCAAAGCGGATTCTTTGTTGTGCTTACCAGAATTATACTTTAAACCAACAACGTCAGATCAGCTGGCCGAATATTTAAAATTAGTCGGCGCGGCAGCTCCAAATACGCCACTTCTTTATTATCACATCCCAATGTTCACTAACGTTAATGGTAAATTAATTATTTAAATAAAATTAAGTCATTTGTAAATAGTGGGAATTTATGTATTGTATCATTGTTTTCGACAGTAAGCATATGACGTATTAATATAAATACTTCTCCTTTAGTGAATATGGGACAATTTCTTGAATCTCTCGGCAAAAGAATTCCAAATTTCGTTGGAATAAAATTCACAAGTCCCAATTTGGAAGAAGGTGCTCTAGCTCTACACGCTGATAACAAGAAATATGTGATTTTCCTTGGAAATGATCAGGTATCGTCGAATACATATTTTATTATAAACACTGGCAATACCAGTTAAGGAAGTAATTCCATAGTTATATATTTAACTATAGCACTATATTTAAACCTTTGAATTAATATTATTAGAAATATAATCTTTCAACTCTATCACAGGATAAGCCAATTGGCCTGAACCTCATATTCACACAAGTTCCAAACACAAAAAAGATCCTTAAACAATTTATATCTTCTTATAATTAGTTCATGCTTGGGTAATGATAACAATTTTTGTACAGAAAGCAATATTATTGTTTCTTCCTGAATCTGTTAGTTGGAATTATCGGTAAAGCTTATCCAGTAGATCCTGCTAGATTACCCTGTCGAGTAATTGGAGATTTTCAAACAATTAATAACGTTGCGTCTAGGGAAGGATTTCCCGGATAAGCCTCTCTCAATCTCTGAAATTTCAACATAGTAGGACGTCACCGCAATTTTCTCGAGAAGTTGAAAATTCCCCGAAGTAATAAACCAAATACACGAAAGTAGACATCAATTAATTTGATATTATACCACACGTTTCTTAACTTCCGATTTAAACAAATTTTAATACGAGATCTATGAATATAATGTACATTAAACAATATGCATTATTTGCATTCTTTCACTATTTTATTCTTGTACACACTATTCTATCTTCCTTCAAATGTTTTTACTTTTTAGCTGATATGTGCTGCCACTGCCTTAGGGATGGATTCGGTTATAGCAACAAGTATAAATATGTTCCCAGAACTTACGCTTGAAATTCTTGCAGAAGGAAAAAAAGGAAATAGCTTGAAAGCAAGAGAATTGCAGGATAAATTGTCGAGGGCTGTCCTCGCTATATCGAAACATGGTAAAACTATTTGCAGATTATTATTTCGCGTATTTGTATTTGAAGAATACACAGTGTAGATCTGTCTAAGTGGCACCTGCAGAGATTAGAACAATGCCACTTAAAGGGTGTGATTGGAAAAATTTGATTGCTTTTTAAAAAATTAATATTAAATGTTAAATTACAGGTAACTGGGTAGAAACTATGAAAGTAGCAATGTCTTTACTAACAAATATCAACGTTGGACCAACACGTGCACCCCTGAAAACTCTATCACGTGAAGTTACAGAAACAATGGCAAAAGAGTTACAAACGTTAGGATTCCAAGTAACAATGTAATTAATTGAGGAAACAGAGAGGAATCGAAATCTTTTATTTTCAAATAAAGTCTTCTAAAATACTCAAAAATTTACAGACTAATTTTCATTCAGAGCATCGATTTCACCCCCATCAACTATCAATAATTAAATGATTTGTGTATGCTCAACAACGAAATAATTTAGTATTTTTTCATGATGACTTCAAGAGAAAAAACGACTAATGTCGCCTATAAGGAGATTTTACAAGAACTCGGTTAAAAGAAAGCTTGGTAGAAAATTTAAAATTGCTCTCAGGTGAAGCCGGGACAGGTCGCTAGTGAAAAATAAATTAATTAGCGTATTAATTTATCCAGAAAAGACTCGTAAGCTACTCAATAGTATCTACAAATGCTTGTAATGGATTTTAATTTAATTAAATAAAAAGAAATTTAAATTTCCCGGGGGACATTAGTGTCTCTATCTAACGATGAACATACCGAACTAATTTCGGAGTTTGGTCTTTACCGACGTCGGTTGGTACATTATCATTCTGTCGGTAAATACCGTGGAATTCGCGCCATCTATCGTTGCCCATTTGAACTATTAAGGACAAACTTGAGCGTTTTCCTGATAGAGGCCCTGACCAAAGTCCAAAAATTAGTTCGGCATCTTCACCACTAGATAGCTATTAATTTGAGCGAAAATACCGGAAACCCACAAGTGAAACCGTGATAGTTTAAAAATTACAAAAAGAATAACAATTATATCATTGTTATTTAATTATTTAATTGTCATTTATTAGATAATACTCTGACTATATTTACACAAAATGTAAAACAACTTGATATTATTTCTACAACCGTGAAAAATGTTACTAAGGTTTATTCGGCATAGGGTGCTGTACGTTGATAGGTTTTGAAATATAAAAACGACTAATGTTGTCTATAAGAAAATCTTATAAGAACTCGGTTTAAAAAACACTCTTGCGTGCGTAATGGAATGCTCATATTTTTTGTTAAGTTTAGCATTTGTTAATATTCTTATGTAACAATAAGAGTAATATTCAATAAGTCATTTGAAATTACCTGAAGACCGTACAATTTAACAATATAATTTAAATGATTATTGTTTGCACTAAGAATTAATATTCAATAGAGTTTACGGAATAATTAATATTTAATATTATATCAAATTATAAATTCTACGTTACATCAAATCGACCGCCTACAGTATTTAGTCGTAACTCCGTGTTCAACAAGCTTCATTTAATATGGCAGCCATGACTCTTGCATGTGGTGATTTTCTAGAGTTTCAGGTATTTCTAAAATAAATGAAAATAACACAAAGGATATTAAATAACAATATTCCCAATTTTTATTAGATTATTTTAGTTATTATTTAACGAATATTACTTGAAATCTTTACGATGTCAACCTAATATATCTTCAACTTGTTTACGATTATAAAGTAATTTATATAATATTTACGCATTAAAAACCATTTAAGTTATGAAACATTATGGAGATTATACTAATATATTAATATAATATAAAATATTAAATTTAATTTATCATTTGCCGTATTAATATTTTGAGTCTAGTTTAGGTTAGGTTGCCGCATGTTCATAAAGAACCGAACATGTAACAATAGTATTTATTTAGAACATGTTTAATAGTTTACCTTTATATAGTTGTATTTAAAATGTTTAAAATAAAAACGATTAAATTATTAAGGAATTTAACATCAGAATAATGGAATATTGATTAATTGAAATATTTTTATTAAGTTATTTAATCATAATTGTTTTCTTCCAGGATGCATTGCAGAAAATGCGACAGATTGATGACAAAATTATTTATATGTTGAACACAACAGTTCCAACAGAATCTTTTAAAAGTCAAATTGATCCAACAGCGAAATGTAAGGATCTCTTTGAACAAATTCAGTCAGGTCATAGAAAAAGAGAACTGGCTATTACAAAATGTTTAAATGCTACTAAAGAAAAAGTAAAACAATTGAGGAATCAACGAGATAATGGTGATGAGAGTCCAGAGCTTCTTAAAACATTAAGAAAAGAACAGAGTACAATGAGATTATTACAATCAGAATTAAATGTAGAAGAAGTTGTAAAAAACCGCACATTTCAAGTGTATTATGAAAGATGCCGCAGTTTTTATAAACCATCGAACATAGGATCTTAATAATATGTCATTGATCACCTTTTTGAACTCCTCATTTAATTAAGTGGTTATAAGCCTAACCGCATTTATAGTTGTGTAGGCTATTATAACCTGACAGAATCATGATAAATTGTAATTAGATGTATAAATATAGTTAGTTACTGCATTTTTGAAATAGTAAATACATAAGATTTGTTATATGTGAAAATGATCATTAAACCATTTTTTTTTGACATCTCTTTATAACCTATTAAAATTATTTCTAATCCATCAATGTATTATATGTAAGTAAAGGAAACCATAGAAACTTCAACATATATTTAAATATAATACAATAGTTTATTAGCCTGATGTTTGAAAATTACTCTAATTCATACATTTGCTATAAATTAATTTTAAAACGTTAGAAGAGTATTTACCGTATGCCGCGTACATTTTACATAACAAAAACAATTTTTCCTAAATGTTAATTTATAAATTAAATTATTATTGATTTAAAAGTATTATAGACATAGTAATCATGTTTAATAGTACATCAGGGAACTATTTGAGATTTTATAAACCTTTTACTGGACAATAGTTAGTCATTAGAATTTTGAAGTATTTCATTGGACACTAAAATATAGACTAGACTGATTTATGACTTTGAAGCAGCAGCAGCACGTGCTTCAGCTTCAGCCTTTCCTTTTGCTTGTTGTTCAGCAATAAACTTCATTCTATCCGATATTATGTGTCTTCCAGATGCTAGTTCCCTTTTTCCACTCATAGCAGACCAAATGAAGCCCACTATTGCAAAAACAATCATGCAATTACATGCATAAATTCTTGCCTTGGAGTGTGCATTCTTTATACAGTCGTACCTAATGAATAGGGAACATAAGTAATACTTAATATGTAAATTCTTAAGGTAATACTTTCAATTTATTGAAAGTACAATACACACGTGCACTTGAAACAATAATGTAATGTGTATAAAAAATCTTAAGATAAACATGTCTACTTCAATATATTTACTTACGATACTTTTCTGGGAACAGCATCCATACTTGGATAACGTTTAACTAATACTAATATTCTTTTATCAAAATTAGTTACAAGATGCATAGGTGCTCCTATAAGTATATAAAAAATAATTTATTTTTTGTGTAACTGAATTATATAAAAAAGTATATTGAGTGTATTTTACCTAACAAATTTTCTTCTTGCTCTGCTTCTGAAACCTTAGGCTTTGATGCCTCTTTTTCTATTACACCTTTATTTTTACTCATAGGTGTAGAATGTAATTGTCTAATTCTTGACAATTTTAATTGCCTCATCACTAATGTACGAAACATTCTATAATATTTCAAATTTTTAATTACAATAAATACATTTGTAAACATATATTTTTATGTTTCAGTGTAATTATAAATGATACTTATGTTAATTTCAACTTTATAAGAAGCAGATTTATAATGTATATATCTTATAAAATTGAAATATAGTTCAAATCATTGCAAACATCTTAATATGTCACTTATATGTTCTAACAAATGTCAATAGGATTAACAGAGAGATATTAATATAAGACCTATATTTTAATTTAATCTTAATGCATTCTGCTCTACCAATAAAACTTAAATTATTTTAATTTATTCTGCTTATACTAAAAATATTAAAACTCTTAATCAATTAATTTGGAAATTTTTTATTTTCTAAACAGTACTCAAATTTACAGTTTCTATATTCTACAAATAATTAATGTTTTATACATTCCACACATATCATTTTTAAGAATTGTACAGGTATTACATCAAACATTGAAATCTTTCCTATCATATGATTTTTATAGGTTGTACGCCTATAAATAAACCATTTTCGTGACAAAATCTAGAAGTCATCGCGATGGTTACACATTGACCTTGCCCGACTAGTTTTATAACCAAGTTCTTTAATTGAAATTTAGTCTTATTTTTTTATCATATTCATCTCCGATAAGTAATATCCGCTTTAAACGTCACATTCTTGTCCAATCTTGTTTATCAAGTATCAGTAGCCACTTTATAAAAGGTAATTACTTACTTGAAATGATTGACACTGTTCACTGTTTGATAACAAACAAAGTGAATCTCTTTCACTTGTTACCGATGATACTGACGCGCATGACTGCGCGTGATACTTATATACTCTTCACGGACACCAATTCTTAAAACGTTGTGTCTGTAATTCCACTATTATATTCCTTTTTTGAACACGCATTATATATAATGTATCCATATTTCAAAATGAGTTACTCATGTGAAAATAACTGTTGATTAAAATTTTTAGTTGATGAATTATTTTCAGTAGTAATTTACGAGTTGTAATAAATTATTGTATTGCCATTTCGAATGAAACTACTGTCTTATGTAGAGTTTACACTTCCTGGAAATGGTTTACGAAGTAATAGGATTCGCTTAATTACAGTTTATGATTTTATATAAATGTTATGTGCAAGGTGTCACGTACGAAACAGTTCTTCGTAAAGAGCTACTGACCCATTCAACCGTAACCTTACTACAAAGAATTCCAGCGTAACGTTAATTCGTTTACGATAGTATTCTTACCTTTCTCTTTATTCTTGTCATCTACTATTACTCAACTTGTTTCTTATGACTTGAAGAATATCTTTTGTACGTTTATTTCATTACAGTTGTTCCTGACTACTATTTTTTTGTAGCTGTTTAAAAACAAAATTTAATTTCACCTTCATTAACTGTCAATAATTAAACAATTTATGTATACTTAACAATGAAATAATTTAGTATTTTTTCGTGATTACATCAAGAGGAAAAGCGATTAATGCGTCTATAAGGAAATCTTATAAGAACAATAGAAAAATTTAAAATTACTCTCATGCGAAGTCGGGACAGATCGCTAGTGAAAAATAAATTGATTAGCGTATTAATTTATCCAGAAAAAACTCGTAGACTAATCAATAGTATCTACAAATGCTTGTAAAAGAAATTCAAATTTCCCGGGGGAAATTGGTGTCTCTATCTAATGGTGAATATGCCGAACTAAATTCGGAGATTGGTCAGCGCCTCTATCAGGAAAACACTCAAGTTTGTCCTCAATAGTTCAAATGGGCAACGATAGATGGCGCAATTTTTATGGTATTACCATTCTGTCGGTAAATACCGTGGAATTCGCGCCATCTATCGTTGCCCATATGAACTATTGAGGACAAACTTGAGCATTTTCCTGATAGAGGCGCTGACAAAGTCCAAAAATTAGTTCGGTACTTTCATTGCTAGATGGCTATTAATTTAAGCGAAAATACCGGGAACCCACAAGTGAAACCGTGATAGTTTAAAAATTACAAAAAGAATAACATTTATATCATTGTTATTTAATCATTTAATTGTCATTTATTACATAATACTCTGACTGTGCTTACACAAAATGTAAAACAACTTGATATTATTGTTGTAACTGTGGAAAATGTTACTTAGGTTTATTCGACATAGGGTGTTGTATGTTGATAGGTTTTGAAATATGTCGCGCGTGTTGCATACGTCCATGCTGTTCAATGTGATTTGATAATTTTTCGTTGACTTCAATCTTTCTTGTGTTTTTTTGTGTGAAAATGAAGGTGAAAATTCTAAAGAGAAATCCGGATGAATACTTACGAGAAACGAAACGTGACATTCATAAAGGTTAGTTATATTTAAGCACGCATACATAACCTTTCAAGTAGCAAATATATTCGTTAATATAAACGTTTTCATATTTTAATGTGCGACTGGTTTAAATTATTCGTTATTGACCGTCTTAACTAATTATTTACACTGCATGTAGTTCCTAGGAATTATGATCCAGCACTACATCCCTTTGAAGCAGCAAGAGAATATACTAGAGCTCTAAATGCAGTGAAATTAGAAAGAGTATTTGCAAAGCCTTTCATAGGATGTTTGGAAGGTCATAAGGATGGAGTGACCAGTTTGTGTAAACATCCCCAAGAACTATCTGTGCTTCTCAGTGGAGCTTTTGATGGTGAAGTAAAGGAATGGAATATTACTCAAAGAACTTGTGAACGATCGATTTTGGCACACGATGGTACAGTACGTGGAATTGTGTATGATGTAAATGCTGAACATTTTATTACTGTTGGTGACGACAAAACCATTAAAATATGGAAAGTAGAAAAGCCATCATTAGGTGAAGAGGAAGAACCTATAAATACAGTTCTCAGTAAAGTAAGATCTGAAGTATTAGAAGATAAACAAATTATTTTGTACAAAATATCAAGTTTAACATTATGAACATTTTATAGACTATTATAACTGGAATCTCTCATCATAAAACAGACCCCATATTTGCAACATGTGGTGAAGTATGTAATCTATGGGAGGAAACTCGAAATGAACCAATTAAAACTTTTAAATGGGGTGTTGATAGCTTATATGACATTAAATATAATCCTGTTCAGCCAAATTTATTTGGTAAATATTTTTCAATATTGTGTTGTCTATCGGATAGTGTTGTATTTAAAAGTTATAAATATTATAAATTTCTACTTGGTAGCTGCTTGTGCAAGCGATCGTAGTATCATCTTGTATGATGCCAGAGAAACAGGTCCCCTGAGAAAAGTGTTCATGAAGTTAAGAACTAATAAACTGTCTTGGAATCCCATGGAAGCTGTAACTTTTACATGTGCTAATGAAGATTATAAGTATGTTTTAAAAAAATGTATTATTCAGTGCACAAGAATTTCTAATAATGAATTATTAATATTTTCATTAGTCTATATACTTACGATATTCGCAAGCTACACACACCAGTAAACGTGCATATGGACCATGTAGAAGCTGTGATAGATGTTGATTATTCACCGACAGGAAAAGAATTTGTATCGGGTAGTTATGATAAATCTATTCGTATTTTTGAAGCCAATAAAGGTCATTCTCGAGAAGTTTATCACACAAAACGTATGCAAAGACTGACATGCACAGCATGGTCTCTAGATAATAAATATATTCTTAGCGGTAGCGACGAGATGAATATTAGAATATGGAAGGCAAGAGCATCAGAAAAATTGGGTGTAGTATGTAATCGAAATAATTTCTTATGTAATTTTTTTCTGTATGGTTTGATATATTAAAACAATTAATGAAATATGTCGCTATAGCTGAAACCTAGAGAGAGATCAGCTTTATATTACAGCGAAGCGTTAAAAGAAAAGTTCGCTGCGCATCCCCAAATTAAAAGAATCGCTCGGCATAGACAGGTTCCGAAACATATTTATAACGCTAAAGCCGAATTACGCACAATCCGCGAGAAAAGTAGCCGGAAGTACGTATCATTGGAACAGAAAACTGATATAAGATATACATACATATATCGCTTAATAGAGCACTTTTCTATGTATGTTCATCTGTTCTTTTAGGGAGGCTAACAGGCGTGCCCATTCCAAACCTGGAACAGTACCTTTCGTTCCAGAGAGACGAAAACATGTCGTTAACCAAGATGTTTAATAAAGAAATATCTATTGTATTACTACAAGTTTTTGTACAATTATAATAAAAATAACATTATTCCTTGCTAAATAAAAATTTATAAAACCTAATATTATAAACTTTAGTCGTTGAATCTATATTTCCCGAATCCCGATACGATAAATAACCATAGGCTACGCGAAGTCTATACTTTTACAAACATCGTGCTTAGCTAATCCTTCCTTCATTAAATAAATTTGGATATAACGAAAAATTACCCCAGTTTCTACCCGAGCCAAATATTGACTATACTTTTTAGACTCAGAGGTCATTCTGAACATGTTCTATCGAAGGCCGCAGTCGGAAGACTTGCTCTTCCGTCTTTGATTTATCGAGATCGTGTACTTGAAAAGCGCCTATTAAATCCCAATGTTATGCATTGTAGGAACGTTTATTCTTGGGATTCCTGTTCTCCTGAAATTTATGAAAATGACATCAGGATGTGAAACTTGTCTGAAAGTGGACAGTTCTTTTTGTTGCCCTCAGGGGCTGTAGCTATGGTAGCTACAGTACGGGTTTAGCGATCCCGAGGTACCCGAGCTATAAGGGACATATGACCCTTAGAAACTACTTATACAAATGCAAAGTAACGTAAAGCAAGAATTGAATGTAAAAAACGAAGGAATGAAAGATTGGTACATTAGGTGTTATAGTCATGTTATATCACTTCGCACCCTTATAAATTAAACTCACTTATTCACTTCTTCCTTTTGAAAATATTACCGTGGACTTCTCACTGCCTGTAGCCTAGAAGGCTAATTATTATTATAGTGGGTAAACTATTTCGGACGTTAGTTTATAGACTAAATTATATTATTTTTATTTATCGTTTATTTTAATAAATAATTTTATTGAAATTATACAACGCATTGCTATAATGATTCGTAAAACGTTACAAACTTCAAGCAGTGATTAATGTCTCGCTTAGCGTAGATTACAACGATTAATTGATTTCCTTTCGTTTTCTTTGCGCATTCATCTTAGCAGAACGTTAATCAATTTGGCGATACAAAGATTTTTCCTGTACCCTAATCTCGATATCGAAGTTACAATGAATGGTTCGTTAACTAACTAAATCACGCTGAAGTTTTATCCTATTCGTTTCTCGAAGGATGACGATAAGCGAATTTTATCTTCGCGATTTTGCTTACATTTGCTCATTGAAGTCCGCATTATAGCTTACATGCGTCCGGTTGATTCGATTTAAATAAATGAATGTAAAACCACATTTATCGATTTTTATATGTAAATCCTAACATGGCAGGGAGTGAGTTGTATACAATTTCGTTGCCAGATGTACTTGAACGCGCGTAAACTTCTTAGTAAAATATTATTTTGTCGTTTGTCGGTTAGCGTACGTCTCAACGACGTTGCTTCGTAGGATAAATTGACGGCCGTTCGTGTAGTTTGATCTGATGTGTTCCGTATCATCGGATATAGAAGGGCGGCAGTTGTCTCGATAAGTCGTTTCGTTACATATTGACAAACAAACAAAAATTGAGGAGTAGGAATTGCACGAAGTGTTCCCTTACAGTTCTATGCTCATGGGCGTACAAAAAGCGGCACACATTTCTCCGTTTCGCTGGTCGATGTTGATAACGCGTGTGTAATTTCCCTATTCTTCCCCCTTCTTTCGTCTTAATTAATCACTATGCGCACGCAAATTCTGTACAAGACTAGGTGAGTCGATCGATTAAATTACCACTGCAAAGTTATTTTCTCCATCGGCTTCGACGCTCCCGGAATTCTACGTCTTGTCGATATTCCAAGGAATACAGCCCCTTCTAACGCTCCACCGCCGAGTTCGTTTAATTAAATATAAGTAGTATGGTATAACAATAATTATAATTTATATACATATAAACACATGTACATTAATTTTGGAACACACTGTTTAGTTGCTTTCACCTCTCAACGATCGATCGAAAAATCAACGAAAACATAATCGCAGTGTCGACGCATTCAAACAAATACAAAATCATACATCGGTCTGTACGCGTTGCTCTTTCCTGATAGTATTCCAGCACCGAATCACAAGATGTAGTGGAATTTTTATAGTACTGGAAATAAGGATAGTACATGTGTGCTATATTTAATCTCTGGACATGGAATTTTCTAGTTTTATTAATCTATGTTGAATAAAGTTTCATTCAAAACCAGTCACTTTCGTATTATATTCCGCGATATTGGGTCCGCCATTTTGAATTTCTACATTTTGAGTTCAAATTCAGAATCAGCGATCAAAAGGAAAAAAAGATATACTCGTATCTCTTCTACAGAACTTGAAGGGTTTTCCATCCAGGAAATACTACAATGTTTACTACTATTTTTGTCGGTCGTTCTTACACATTACGATTAAAGTGTCTGTTAAATAAGAAACTTTAAAGTGTTGTAACTCGGTTTAGAACCATCCCATTCGATTTTAACGAAATGCAGACCGAAGCGCGGAGTTTCTTCTACTTAATAAATATTTATTATCATTGTTAGACACTTTTAAACAATTGTTCCTCATCTAGAAGACACGTTGCTTGACAAAAGAGAACTTTTCTAAAGAGAATATTTTACTTGAAAATCAGATTCCTGTATCTGTGTTGAACCAGAGGCTGCTGAATAATTGAAACTATTTCATTAAATTTAAGTTAGCGTGTTATCATTTCGTCTTTGTTATTTATCTGTGTACCTTATTTATTGTGAAAGTCAGTGGGCACAAACTGATTTAATCCAAGTTTCCTTCTTCCTCGCGCCACGATTAAAAAAACTGTACGTTGTTTTCGAGAAATGTCATATAACACACATGTGCTACCAATTTGTCCAGACCTATAACGATCGTTGTCAACGCAATGGTGTCGGTTAAACTTCGATTCGTAAACTAAACGCGACCGTATCGTGACACCGATACAGTTTTACAGAGTCCACTCAATACGAAATCCATTCAAAATACATTCACAGTAACATTCAAAAATATACTCATCCCATTCTTGCGGTAATTCTTCACTTCACACGAAAGGATGCTGCGAACTAGTTATTCTCCAGGACTCCCCTTCGCAGAGCTGGTGTCAGGATATGTTAACGCGCAAACAGAGCGACGCTCCTAAGGGACTCATGCCAACGAACACATCCGTTGCAACCGCGATATATTCGTTGGCATTTCAATCGAGCGACGTCGATATCAAACGGTCTCGATTTAATAGCAAAACTCTGCGAATCGATCTACAAAATAAGGAGTCAGTTTCCCTGCTGTACGTCCTTCGACTTTTGATTTGCTATTATTTACTCGTTAATAGTACCTTAGCGATATCGACGACTTACGAATACTTATCACCGCGAGAACATACAGTTTCGTTTTCGAGTACACAGCGCATTGTTCTCGTACGCTATCGATCACAATGCCCCTTTTAACGAGCACGATCGACGCGGAATTCAACGCGAACGCGCGTTTTTCCCTCTCGATTTCGCGTATTCCTCGTGTCTGTAAACGCGTTTTCTTTCCAAAGCGTGATTCAGTCTCGCGTGGTCTCTTGGAACGAGCTTGCCACGGTTGTTCGAAGTTTGAAAGCGTCGTTGAACGAATCGATTGTTCCAAATCGCCTTCCGGGTCATTTCGGTTCCCCAGAGATTCATTCTAGACGTTCAAATCGGCCATCATCTTCCGGAAGTCGGCCAGGGTGTTGTAATCAGGATCCGAATCGATGTCCGCAAAGTCCTTGTTGGAATCACTCTTCACGAAGCTGGGATTGTACCGGCTTAGAGACAGTGGGCACGGCAACAACTCTGGCATCACCGAGTGATGAGTAATTAGGGCAGTGAGCGTCGTGAACTCCTTCGTGAAACCCTGAAACATAAGCGAAAGAAACAGAATTATCGTTTGGTATCGATTATTATTGTGAGAAATAATGTTTACTATCGTGGCTGCAGGAGCTTATAGAGCAATATTCGATATTCTTTAACATTATTTCTATAAAAGTTGTTAGAGGACACCTTTTGAAATTTTCAATTTAAATCGTTTGACAAATTTAATCATCTTTTTCCTCGATCGACTTTTCGAATTTTTGTATAATGATTGTAAAATTAATTCAAGGGTATCTCCTTTTCCTCTACTTCCTCCTGGATCCGAAGTATATATACGTTACATAATATATCTATTCATCCATATTATATTTATTTCCACTATGAAGTGTATTTTGACATGTTAAAGATTTTATAAATTATTTTATACACAGATGCCAACATCATAATGCAACACCATTTCAATTCAAATTCGACAATTTCCATTTCTGTGTCTCTATTTTTTATTCGTATTTAATTTTATTTCACATTCAAATAAATTAATGTAACAGTCTAAATTATATCCCCATTTTTTATTATGAATAGTGGTATAGTGGTAAAAAAGTAATTCAAGGGTGTACGCCATGAAATATCCCCAATGTTCTTTATTTCTGTCGTCATACAGGGTAACTAGGGGGTCCACGCGATGTATTATTTGTCCATCAAATGAGCCAACGTCAAAATTATCATGTGTCGTAGGTATTCGAATCTCATGGCGTGTTGCTACGGCAATGCAATCCCAGACGAAAAGAGAGGGGGAGTTTTGATTTCCCTGCGGCCCAACGAAACTCATTTATACTGGTTTCAGAGATTATCAAAGTCCGCGGACCCATTTAATTTATCCTCCTACAAGGAAAGTTCGATCATTTAAATACGCATGCTCAAACGGCAAAATTCGCAATACCGTAGTAACTTCATACTTGCACGGTATCTCTATTATGATGTTTTCGGTGCTGGAAGCTCTGGTATAAATGCGACATTACTCTGTAGAGATTAATAACCGCACACAAAGTGACTCCCAACGAACTTCCGTTCAGCGTTCGACGTCGATTTTTATGAAAAGCCGCACGCTCGTGGAACAGCCATAAAATGAAGGACGTGTAGGTTTAATTACAGAGATACAAACTGGACGATAGATTTTCGGATTTCATTAGCGTCATTCCAGAAACTGCTGCTATTATTTTCAAGCAATTCTTGCTGACTTCTATTAATGGAACTTTAATATTCGAACACTTCGTTTCTTTATTTTTTAGATTATCTCTGTTTTCAATTGGGAGACTGATTTGAACAGCTTATTTTTACAATATAATCGTAAAGAAAATGTGATACAGAATAAATACACGATAAAGTTAGAAAACTTTATATTCTACACTACGAATACTCAGATACTTGATCAATACACAAAGTATTTAAATACTCTAACAGTGTCCACGATTAGGAATGGAATACATATGGACATTTTTTCATTGAAAATATCGAATAGAATTCGAAATTTATTCACTTAAAATTGAAGGACACATACAGTCAGTCCTATAAATATTCGTACCCTCGGTGTTTATCAAAGAAGTTTGTTTAAATTAAATGAGAGGTTTGATGTTTCCAAATAAATTTTTCATTATGGATACATGTACATGTAAAATATATTTATGTACGTATTTATTACAGAAAATTTATTTGGTACATCAAACTCGTCATTTAATTTAATCAAATTTTTTCAATGGACACAGAGGATACGAATATATATGGAACTGACTGTATATGCTATAAAATGTCAAATCTTACATAAAATTCGAAGCATAAAATTCGAAAGCATGAATGTTTCGAGCACTCGTGTAATTGAACTTTATCAGTGGTATTCGTATACTCGATGGAAGCATTGTTAAGCCATTCGAATAGTTACAGGCCTAGTCTCAAGCGAAAGTTGCGATTACCGCGGTTAAGATATAGATAGTTTACAGGTGTTTAAGGCCTTTCATAGAAACGACCATCTCGCGAAGACTTGCAGGAAGATTTACCTTGATTTTGTAGCCTTTGTTCGTACGCATTATAAGATAATGGGCTATTCCGCTCGGTTGGAATTCGCGCGGTACTCGAAGCGAGAGGGCATAACATCCGGGTTTACTGGTGCTTTCCCTCACCATGAAGGCTCCTTCCGGCTCCTGGCTCAATACTTCCAACGTTATTTCCCTGGAATCATAAATGACCGTCGCACCGTGAAAATGCAAATCCGTATAAATAAGCGACAAAAATAACGACCGCAACGGAACCCCGATCATAATTCTGCGTAACGACACCGTATATATCGCGCAACTATAAAAAGTAGCTATTTTGTTTGCAAAATTCCGTGGACGAGAATCGAGCGCGAACCGTGTACAGGCTAAATAACCGAATTAATTATTTATGAATCTGGCAATATCACGCGAATACGTAGAGACGTCTCATCTCTTTTAGTGGCCGAGCCAAGGAATTGGAACATGAACGAGAAATGCTGAGCATAACTGATGTAGCTTGATAAAGTTTGAGACGAAAATTATACAAATTTAGTTTTAGATGATAATTGGAAAATTGAGAAAGATATATGTTGAGAAATTCTGAGGGAGAATTAATCGATGACTGAAATATTTTAATGTTTGGTGAAGATTATGTTGATAATGTTTATTTATAATTTTAATCGTTGGGTATTCTTGATAAACAGTATTTACAAATAGAAAAAGTTATCACCTCAAAAATATTACAAGTCTTTCATCACTTAATTTCACATTATACTGAGACGTTACATAGACACAAACGATTGCTCGTTACGTATGTTAATTATTCATCGGGAAGTGAGTCAATTATTAAAATCTTTTCGTTAATAATTTGCAAAAACGTACATTTCTTGAATTCTTTTAACACGATTCTAATATATTCTATAGAAGATATTTTTTCCAAGTTGTTATTCAGAACTTTGTGAGTTCTTATCAAATAAATTTAGAATAATTTAAAAGAATAATCAAAAACCTTGGTATTCCAGCCTGGAACCAGGGAGCTTTACGCAATTCAGCCTCCTCGCTACGATTGTTCAAGCTATCCGTTCTTTCAGGCAGGGGTGGAGGTGTGGGTGTCGATCCGTGAGTACTTCCGTCAGCAGGTACCGAACTGCTCGAAGTACTAATTTGGGATCTTCTCTTCGACTTGAATTCTGTTTCCGTACCCGAACTTGGAGAGTTATGTCCTATCCTGAAGGTTTAATAATTGTTAATAATCACCAACTCTCTTTTACCTGTGCTTGCACCCTTTACATTTTCACCATTATTTCATCATTTTTCAAAACAACTATCGTTCCCTTCTATTTCTATCAAGTAAGAATCATCGAGTTAAATTTTATTTTTTACCTAAATTGAAAGAAGTCTCTTTAAGACCAGTCATTTGATAAATCACAGTAAAATTCGTATAAAGAAATATTGGAAGATTCGGTATTAATTGTATATCTGTAGAAATATAAATTTGCGTAAACATTCGCAGTGAAGCGACAACCAGTCATCATCAGCCGTTTTGGAATTACCTGTTGTTCTCGATGTTGAAGTTTTTCGCGGTAATGGAGGCATTGATAGTGTTGTCCAGACTCTCGGACGGGGGTATTTTGTTGTAGGTAGGTCTGGTGCCCTCCGAGTCGATGATCGCCTCGTTTATGTAACCCCCCGAATGGGGCCTATTCGATGGGCTCGTCGGCGTACTGCTACCGCTGACGAGGGGGCAGCTGTCATCCTCACCGTTTAGTCCAAGAACGTCACGTCCACCTGTCAAACCCATCGCCAGCCGCTTTATCAGAGGCGGCTTGTCCGTTAGCCTCTTGTACGAGTTCAGTTCCGTCGGGGAGTTGCTCTCATCGCTGCTCGGTGTACTTTGCTGAGAGATACTCTTTGGCTCGTCCTCGTTCGTTATAGGGCCGAGAACGTTCGTGAAATTGTGCGTCGGCCGTAGTCCTGGGATCGAGTTCGGTGTCTGGTTTAGGGACAAACGAGAAAGTGATTAATTACCATAGTACAGCTTGTCGACGTTCAGGGGACGTCTAACGTCTTAGGTCGCGGGAACTTTAACACGTTGGCAGCCGGATTAACAATTAGGAAAAATATCAGTCTAACGCTTCGTCTCTATACGACTGAAACTTATTTTTATCGAATTTAAACTTGTACTTATTTTTGCGATTTCGCAAAATTCACGAATTCTACGCAAATTTATTTTCCTCAACTTTTCATGTTCGGAATTGATTTATTTATTTCTTTAGTGAGAAGCCCTATCACCCATATATGGGTACACTGAATATTTTTTGACAATTATTACATTCCTCGTTATATTTAAAATGTTGCTAATTTCAAGGATGATGATGATGTTTGGGGGAAGTGTGAGAACAGTGTCAATCAAAATAATGTTCATTTTGGAGTTCTTAGTTTCTTATGTAAGTAAACGATCATTAATTTTTGAGGGATTGCATTATTTATGAAATTTGACGCAAAACAGTAGAAATACGTTACAATTATTACAAATAGTTTACTACTTAAAGTATATTAGGGTTCACATTAAAGTGAATTAGAATTGGCAATTCTGACTGAAATTGTTCAAATGGGTAAAATATGATACTTTTATATTTAAAAATAAGTAATAATATCATGCAGGGTGTGTGGATACTTTTGTAAATAACTGTATTTCATAAGGGAAAATTATTTCTACACGCTTGGATAAATCTTTTCAACCGGTTATTTGCATTATACTGGACATTGTTGTTTATCGAGTTTCATCACTTAATCAGAGCTTTTGATATCTGGGTAACCGGGTACTCGGTAAACCAAATCGAACTCGAGTATAGGGATAATACGATTATGGTTACCCGAATAAACGCACGATATGGTTAACCGATGAAATACAGTCAGCCGGTTAATGCAGCGAATTATAATGTTCTAATTACCATTATTTTCTATTTGTGCTCAGTGGGATGTTTTATTTAATTTTATGGTAGAAACCAGAAACAGTGTTCTTTGTAAAACAAAATGGCCATAATAGTAATATGAAATAAATATTACAAAGAAAATTAATTTAAACGAGATGTATAACGATGGTATAATATATTCGATCATTTTCAAATATCGTGAACAAAGAAAAAATGTATATTACATAGAAAGATGCATGAAATTTGAAATGAACGTATATAAACAAATTTTTATAAATTTAAAACACGTAAACACAAATTCATACAAATGTATTATTATTATCCACAGTTATCTACGATAAAATAACACGATATGAATATTTAAGGTTAAAAAGATATCAAAATATATATTGTATATTACAAAGGTATTCTCTAAAATATTAAATAAAAATAAATATTAAATAAATAAAATATAAAATTCAGCAAGTATGCCAGCCCTACTTGTTCGCAGTATTGCCTTACATTCAGGAAGTGGCGACAATTATATTGGAAAATTTAGTACATGTCATCTCGACCATTTTCATAGAAAGTCTGTTTAAACTTCTCCTTTGAGGAAAGTTTCTCTTCCACTGCATGTATTTAATGAACAGTGTTCTTCAGAAGGAAGCAAGGTTACGCAATAGAGCTCTAGAGGCTTGTAAATCCATCTAGAAAGTGCTTATAAAATTTCTCTTCATACTGCAGTTTCCCTCGCGTTAACGAAGAAGAGTTTAATTCCCAAGCGCTGTAACTAAATAAAATATAATTTGCTATTCGTATGAAGATGATAAGAGAACCGATTACAAGTAACTACTACCAAAGTGACTTTAATCCCAAGTTCTACTAAAAGCTTCTTTCTTTGTCGGTTGTTGATCAATTATAAACGATAAAGCAGCGTTGTCAACCAAGTTCATCAGACAGAAGTTGAGTTTGATTTAGGCGCACGCATTTCAGTGAATACAAATTTGCAGCCACGCAGATGCAAATTTGCAGAGAAGCAATCTTCCTCCGTACCAAGGATGACCAGTTTCTGAGAAAAAGGACGATTCGAGTTCCGGATGAGATACCAGTAGATGATCGAGGGACAGGTTTCAGCACCTGTCCGCTATGAGCTTTACGTGCTCTTTCCATACGTGTTCGTCGTGGTAAATAGAACGGACCCACGAATTATGTAATAAGAAGACCTTTCGAAGGAATTGTTTAAACATAGGCTCGCAACCGTTTTGAAGTACAAAATAGTAGGCACAGGCCGTCAAGCAATTGTAAATATTCCCAAAGAGTCCTTATGCGTGGCAGCACTTATTTAAAGGTCTGATGCTTGATACTGTCGAAACTGAATGACCTCGGATATGAAATTTACCATGATCTCTACCTTCGGACTCCGTGGAACTCCACACTTTCTCTTATTCAAATAATCGCCTACCAGAGATTAATGTTTGAAAAATAAAAAGAAACGCCTGTTGGAGTGTCCTATGTATACATTCATACATCTTCGCCACCTTACACGGATTGTCTTCAAACATTCAGCGATTATTTCTAGCATTATACACTTTAAGAAAACGTAAACAAAAAAAATCAAAAGTTTCAGGATTAATAAAATCTTTGCAAACGAACCTAAGAAAATTGAATCTAAACGGAAATTTATTTTACTCTGCAAATATTATAATGTGAACTTGACTTTCAATATTTTTTTTATATTCTTGCATACTGTGTGCATTTCGTGGTTCCTCGTACATTCAAATTTCTTAAAAATGTCTAAAAATCCGCAGTGTAGTTATCATCATGCAAGATTTCGCGTAAATGACGCCACCAAAGCGACGCAAGAACGTCTCTATTTAAGTTCAGACCGAAAAGCGTGGCGAATAGAGGCGTGAAATAACATCGTATGTTTCTTGAAAAAGCCATCACGGGGAAATATGGAGGAACAAAATGCGTAAGCTACCTTCACGCTGGCGAGTCGCAGCGTGGGCGAGCCGGCACTGCCAAGCTGTACGTTCATGTCCGCCACAGACGAACCGCTTCCACTTCTGGACGTGGGCGACGTTCGACTTTTTAGCCACGAATTCGAGGATGAATTTCTGCAACCACCGCCCACACCGGCGATCGAATTGTCGCCAGCTAGCGATTGGTTCTGCAACAGAAACAAATTATCGATTAAATACAATACGTTCGAGAATGTGTTATTTTATACGTCGTTACTTTTCAAAAATGTTACAGTTGCTCTTTGTTACATCCAATCCTTGTGTCGCGTGTATTAGATTATCGTCATGGTATTTTTTCTTTTTAAATACATTTCTTCGATTGAGCTATTCTAGAAAAGAGGGAACCGGCAGTCTTTTGAAATATATTTTGTAGATTTTTTATCTTATATATTAATAAGATAATATTATATATTAACCTTTAGCAGCCTAATTTTCCAAAAACCAACTAAAACAAAGGTCAGAATAATGTTAGACTAACGTTAATCGTACAATCGTCTGGGAAGACACTTTGCGTCCAAATAACAGAGAACATTTTTCTCCTAATTGTATCCACAAAGAACGAAGTTAGAATCAGAAGCGAGCACGAGCATTTCAGAGAATCCCGGAAGGAAAGGTGAGAACGGGATTGCACTGAATATTTATCACGTTCTACAGGACCTCTGTCAGGGATCGTGTGGCGGTCTCGAAGTTTACTTACCAATTTTGTCTCGGGAATAGTTGGAACGCTATTCATTCGAAGGTAGGCGACGAAACTTGGAAGCCGATGAATAGTTTATCGACAGAATCCTACAATTTCCAGGACAATTGCGTAGGTAGAACTAGCCGACAGGCGGCGATGAGCTGACCGTTTACTTGGAGACGCGACGCGGCCAAGAGACTCAGGTCGAATTTATAATTAACACGGCCAGTAAATGGGACACATCCACTGGAGCCGGATGCCCCTATGAAAACGCGCTAGACGTCGTTTCCTTTCCTCCCAACGTTTAGGTATTCGAAGAAAAACAACGAATTTTTTCCCTTTAAGGTGGAAACTTCCCATAACATATGAAAATCACAGCTGTAACAATTCTTTTTTCGAAAACAATTGACTTAATGAAAGTTCTATTCCCTGGGATTTATTATATATATTGAATAATATAAAAATTATTTTTATTCGGATTATTTAAATAAAATAGCGATGTTGGAGCAAGGATGACTTTTTAATCGACCTAGCAGGATTCTCAAGTGTAATGACTCCAGCGTCGAACTATTTTATTTACAAAATATCAATAAAAATTATTTTTGTATCTCTGAATATATGTATAATAAACTCCAGTAAACAGATCTTTCATTAAGTCAATTGCTTCCGAAAAATAAATTGTTGGATATAGCTATGATTTTCACGTCTCCCCTTAACGGGCATAAATTTATTCCATTTCCTGTGTACGGGAACATCTCGCTGGGACTTCGAAATTATTTCCACGTTCCTTCCTGCTCCCTTGTCTGGTTGTAACAGAATTTTATTTTTGAGGAATTGTTCCACTAAATATTGGTGACAGCCAGTCATTTCTAACGTCCGAACGTGAAAAATTGCTGCAAAACGAAGGCCGATCAAAGCACAGGTCCTTTAGCATTCGGACATTCCGCAACTTTTACTCCGTCAGAGAACGGAGAAATACCTTGCTTGTTATGTCAGGTTAGACAAACGTTACGACCGAGTGATATTGAGGTAGCCATTATGTTATTTGGTCTCTGTTAACATGAAAACGAAGGTGTGGAAATTAAAAAAGGTACGCACCCACGAAGACCGAGTCTCCTGTTTGTCCTTGCGATAGGGTGGCGCTGATTGCTGTGAGATCACATCGTGAAGGATCGGCTGGCGCTGAAGTTGCGCCACGTATGCCATACGAAAAGCATTGCCGACTAGGGTGTTCAACTCCTCCGCCTGCGACAGAAAAGGAGAAAGAAACTATTTAAATATATTTGTTTTTTGTGTAGACTTTGTTTGACAACCTATGATGACTACGCGTCATTCATTCATACATATTTAATGATCGAATACTTGCTCGTATTTTATCTCCTGTTCGAGCTTTGGTTAAAAACATCAGCTATCATACTTTCGGATTCTACATGTTCAAACTTAATATTATTGTTCGTTACTGTCTTGTTCAGTAGATTTAAAGTCGCATCAACAGCTTTAGTATGGTTATTACTGACGACTGTTAGGAGTGGAGAGTACGAAGTGGTTAAATCTTGTTATGTAATGTTGAGTATTCGACAGACTCGAGATATTTGTTAAGTGTGTCTTGTTACACAAAACGATATTAATGTATTTATTATATTGTAAGAGGAAGAAATCATCTGTTTGACGGTCACTTTAATAATATAATGAAATGGTGCTGCGTTTATGACGGTGATCCAACGATTGACCTAAACGCAAGCTGGTGAACTAATTAATATTGAACCAGGGAATTTCAATTAATTCGCTAACCACCCTTTACCCCTCTGCGTTCCGATCCATGTCAAGGATGGATTTCAAACTCTAATCTAGGGTCGATCAGGACTAGAAATCGAACTTCGTGTTTATAGCTTCTAGTTCAATTCGCTTTCTTTGATAATTTTGAAACATCCTAACAACACTGGTAGGGACACGAGATATAATTTGAGCCCTATCTGCAACACGATCCTCTTGATTTATTGATTATTCAGTCTCACTATCGAAACATCATTAGTAGTTTTCTTGTACTGGCATAAGCTCGAGTTTAATGAGCGCAGGTACCTTAACATTAGGACTCGGAGACACTTTTTTCAATGAAATGCAAAAATATTTCTCGTAAAACTAAATTGAATAATGCATGTATATAATTCATATGTAGCATTTAAGAACTGTATAAAAAAATTTGAAAACGGTCATTTGACCAGTCGTGGTAGGTTTAGCGTTAAAAGGACTCAAGTTACTCGACGCACGTCAATATTAGCGTGTCACAGGAGTATCTTTCTCAAAGGACGGGGCTTACACACGGAAGTCTCTCAGTTGGTATCAACTATCGTGCCCTCAATTCATTGGAGACCCTATGTTGACCCTATGTAACCTATTTTTACTTTTTCTACTTAATATCTATGCTAATGAACGGAGGGGATGATTCTGTTACTCGAATTCTATTGCTGGTAGATACCAGAAAAAAAGATTTCGAGCGCAAAGGGTTAATAGAGACAACAGTGAAGTAGGGACCCTACAAATGACGAAACTACTTCTACGTTTCGTCAGCGTTGTATCTCGTTCTTCGAACGACACGCTGATATTGGGGTACGACGTGTAACTTGAGTCTCTTTTGGGTTAACCTCCGTCTACTTTCGCTACGCAATATTTATGCTACCAAGCGAAAGGTACGTCTCTATTACTCGAATCTAGTGAGAGAGTCGTCACTCGAAAGCGCGAATTATCTTCGAACTAGTATGCATAACGAAAAAAGGACGATGAGAAACGGACACCGGGGCGTAATCTATATCTATTCCATACATCACGGCTGAGGAGACGCTAACGGAAGCGGAGTCGATACGGAAAATAAACTACGCCAAAGAACCCGTAGGTGTATGCGTATCGCGGCGGTACCGTGGCGTTCGCAGAGGAAGCGCAGAGAGAAATGAGACACGATGGTAACAAGCCAGAAAGCGGAAAAGAGGACGAGACGCGGGGAAAAATAAAGGGAGCAGAGACGTGACTGAAAAAAGGAAGGAGTAAGACAGATCAACGGAAAAGGGAAATGGAGATGGCAGGGGGTGGAAGGGATGTAAGGGGCGTGGGGACGGCAGCCGCATTCGATACTATCCCGGAGGCTGCGGTCGGCACTTGCCTAAGCCGGATATTCGAAATGGAAACCGAATGTGAACACGATGCCGGCGCTGGTGTGACGCGCGCATTCCACGTGTCTGCGGCCAGAATACGGCATGTTTGATATTTGCGATTTAGGCGATGCCGCGGGATTGACCCGCGTCGACCGTCGACAAGAATTTTATTCCGCGGAACGTCTGCCGGGCAGCCGGTCGAAACGGGTGATCGCTACTGAAAGTTATTTTACCCGGCCAATTGTTCGACGCTTTATCGCGTGTTTTACGAGCCCAGTCCTACCGTTTCATTGGAACACGCACATGGGCAGGTGTAAAATCAACATTCTATTACGGTGACACTACGACCATTCTGGATTCTTTTTTCCTATTAGCTGTTCATGCATACAGCCAGTCTCATAAATATTCGTACCCTCTTCGTCTATTAAAGAATTTGTCTGAATTAAACGATAGATTTTGATGTTTTCAAATAAATGTTTCATTATAAATATGTACATGGATAAACTTCTCACTTGTATATACATAATGGAAAATTTATTTGGAAACATTGAAACTATCGTTTAATTTAGACAAATTCCTTCAATAGATACAGAGGGTACGAATGTTTATCGGACTGACTGTAGTTGCATGTACCAGTTTATAGGGCTACTGGCGACTTAATCCTTTGACTGCGAAGGGTGTATATGTATATACGCTCTCGAGAAATGGGTTCGGAGAAATGTTTGTATTCGTTGAATGAATTTTTAAAAAATATCAGCTTACAGGGAATAATGAGACCTGTTACCTACTGAGATAGTAATTTTTCTGTAAGCGTGACGACAAAACGAAAGCTTCCAATTTCTAAATATATTCGCGTTTTTAAACACAGATCTTTCTGAGATTTAAATATACAATTCCGCACTATCTGCGGGTACTCGATACATAAAAAATGACTCGAAAAATCCACACCGCGACTGGAAGAAGAGTCACGATCGCTCATAACATCAGAAGCCTTTGAAGCCGATCCTCGTTCAGAAATGGACGATAAATCTCACAAAAGGTGGCTGTGCCCCCCCCCCCCACCCCCTCGCGCAAAAAGGAAGCAAAGAAAGCAAGACCAGGAAAGGAATTCGCGAAATCCGGTAAGGGGGTAGATGGGGAGCCGGCATCGCGCACAATATGTCTCGTGTATAGGCGGCCGTGTAGCGGGTAAGGCGAATGTAAAAAGTAGAAGGGTGGTATACTCTCATTCCTGTTCGCACAATGCGTCGTCTTTTAGGTGGCTCTCGTGCAACACACAGTCAACATCGCGCATTAATACGCACTACCGTGGCTTTTATGAGCTTTGGAAAAGAGAGCGATAGCGTTCTGCCCCTCCACCGGCAATTTCACCCTGTTTTCATCCCTAGCGCGGGTGCCTCGGCGATGCGTGTTTGCCTCACGGCCTGGCAGGCAACGGCGTCGTCGTCCGTTCGCAATCAAACTTGCGTCGACAGTGCCGTATCATTCTGAACTATGCACACGGGACAAGCATCCGCGTGTGGTCGACGCGATCCCGCGCACGACTAACCGTTGCCCGCGTGTGCGTGCCAGGACCTTTCTAAACGCAGACACGAGCCGCTGGTCTAGCCAAGGGTTGCGACGTGAGTGCTTATTACACATTCAAGGCTTGCATTTGCACTGTACCCCGCTGGAAAGCTGTACGCCATTTCCCCCCCTACCCCACCGCGGCCATCGTCGGTTCTACGCCACCCTGGTCACTCTTCTTCTTTCTATTCCTTCTCGTACGACTAAGGGCGTTTCGTTACATACGACATGCCACGGCCATTGCCGAGGATCCGACAAAAAGATCCACCGCCGCGCGCAACCGAGATTCTTTTCCTCGACATTTTCATTTCCTTTCACCGCTGCACCCCTCCGAGCCTGTTTTCCATCTCCGTTTGGTCCCTGACGCTTTCGCGGAGGTCAACGAAAATCTTTTATTCCTCACCGAGAGGGATTGATAGGGGGTCGTATTGCGATAAATCGATCACTTTTAGGGGTCGATGTCAGGGATTTCGGTCTAATTGAAATACCTATAGCGATGTCTGAACAGGTCGAGGGACAAGCGAACAGTTTTATGTATAGAGCTTGGGTACAAATTTTCTTCAATTCTTTTTATTAGTTCGGATAATAAAAGCTAATAATTGGAAATCTAAGGTCGACTGTTTATTTTGTTTAACGATGAAAGTTCAGCATAAAGAAGATTGTGTGATTAATAAATGTCTAGGCTACGTTAAGTGAATTGCGAACGGCTAATAGGAATATCTGACGCATAATTTATTCGAAAACAATTATAGGTACGCGTACACATGCTCGATTCAAAAATACAAAATAATTCAGTTTTAATAGGAATACAAACCATAAGAAATCATATCATATTGTATTAAAAAAAAATAATACATTCGTGCTAGAATTTAGAGCTGCGTCAATCTAATAACGCGATAATGCACCGTTCCAGTGCGTAAATATTCGCGTAAAAATAATTGTAACGCTCTTGATAATAGTGCAAATGGAATACGACGATTTATTTTAAATGTAAGCGCCTGAATGTCATTACATGTTTTAATATGAGTAAAAACTGACATACATTTCATATTTCAACATCCTCCATTTTTATGCGGACGACAACATAAATATTTCAATTTGCAACATTGAGTAAAAAAAAAATGTGCATTCAGACACAATTATTATACGTAACTCGTCAAGGGTGTTATTAGACGAGAGGTATCGATGTTTTGATTACAAGTGACGGTTGAAATCATAAATTATAACTAGCATCAGAATATATGAATTAGAAAAAGTAATACAAGCAGATATTATTATAAAATAAAAATGAACCTCACTATAAGCCTCACTATAATTTCAACATTACATTTTCAAATTGATTCATACAATTTTGTTAGAATAAAATAATTCGCCCTCGTTCATTATGATCGAGATCATAAGCTCCTTATAAAGATTAAAAGAAAATAAATCTACCACGTGGAAATTTTAAAAAATATTAATTTTATGCTGTGAGCTATCTCTTTACTACTCGTACGTCTGGTGAATAGAATGATCGAAAGAAGGGAACTATCG